GCGCGCCTTGAACACTGGTGATGATCTAGGCAGCCTCTTCACCTTATAGAGCCACATGCCACTTACGACGTTCATCCCAGGTGGTGGGACGGCGTCGACGTAGGTGCGTGTGGACCTATAAGATGCCATCTCTGCCTCCTCAGCTGCTATCCAGTTCGAAGCCCAGGGTACCGAGACCGCCTCGGCGTGAGTGCGCGGGATCGGGATGTCAAGGGCATCTGGATCCCCCTCAGGGGCAAGCAGCATGGCGCAAAGATGAGGGACAGCGATCGCAAGGAAACCAAGCTCGAACTGCCTGTCCTCGAGGACCTCCATGGGAAAAACAGGGACACCCCAAGTCGACGGAGAATGAGCAGTGCCGCTCGCTAGGTGGGAGGCATAGTCAAGACGGTGGGACGAGGCAAAGCTAGCAACAGTGGTAACAAGGGCTGAGACAGGCGACAGAGGGGCAGTCGGGTGAGTGACCAACGTGGACAGAGCACGGGAGACGACAGGACGGGAGGCACGGAGGTAGTCGGACAACGGGTCGTGAAGCTCAGTGGGGGACGACTCAGGAGGCTGTGGAAGGACCGGAGGAGGTGGAACACGAGAACGGAGTACAAGGTGAAACAGGCCGTCAGCACGGTAATGAGACCGACAGGGCTCTGGAGACACAACACGACTGAGGGGAGAACGACGAGTCCACTGGGACGAGGAAAGGGACTGAACAGGGGGAACAGGAGGGGACGGTAGGGGACCACGAGCCAAGCGTGCAGATGCTGGGTCGGGCAGGTCGCGCAGTCGAAGTCGCTACCGCTCCGCCTCCTCTGGCGTCTGCTGCAACGGTACCTGCCCCTGTTGCTACTCCTGTGGCTCCTCCTCTACCCTCTCTTGCTGCGGCTGCAGCTGCACCCGCTGCTGCGACCGGGACTCCTGGGCTACCCTCTCCTACTGCTGTCGTGAGTCCTCTACTCTCTCCTGCTGTGTCTTTAACTGCACCTGCTGCTGCGGGCGGGACTCCTACTCTACCCTCTCCTGGTGCGGTCGTGACTCCTTCTCTACTCACTCCTGCTGCAACTGCAACTCCACCCGCTGCTGCACTCGTGACTCCTGCTCTACGCTCTCCTGCTACGGCTGCATCTGCTCCTGCTGCTGCAATCGTGACCCCTCCTCTGCTCTCTCCTGCTATTGCTGTGACTCCTCCTCTACTCTCTCCCGCTGCTGCGACTGAGACTGCTCCTGCTGCTGCTGCTCACGCTCACGCTCCTCCCTCTCCAACTTGAGGAGACGCTGCTCATGGGTCCCGAAGCGTACAGTGCACGGTGTAGGCGCCACAGTGCCAGTGCCTCCAGCTGCCAGCACCCCTAGAACTAGCACCTCCACCTCCGACACCCCCGGGGCCTCCAGTACCTCCCGCAGGAACTGTCAAAATAGTAGGCAGAACGAGGAGCCATAGCTAGGGTTTACCTAGCTAGGCAAGAGAGAATTAGGCAAAGGAGGGTTTGACTAGCAACAGTTGGGATACAAATAGGAAACCCTAAGGGGCCGTACTCACTACAGAGTACCCCACTGCAGGCTAGACAAGCATTATAATCTGACACACCCCCATAGTCAAAGTGGGGTATAATCAGCACAGCAAGCAGTCATAGAGCAGGTTCACAAGGACAAGCAAAGCTAGAGGCATTCACAATGGGCAATTGAGGAGGAGGAGGCGGGACTGTAAGAGAAGAGAATATAGGAGGCGACGGCTGAAGCTGCAGACACACGGGCAACAGGAGCGGCTGGCACAGTGGCTACCGGGACAGCGCCCCAGACTACTGGAGTAACTGGCTCGGCGGCTACGAAGAGCGGCAGGAGCAACGGACACACGGGCGACAGGCGCAGCAGGCTCTCTGGGCTACCAGGACAGCGCCCCGGACTACAGGTGCTGCGGACGACAAGACGGCAGCCTCCACTCAACCTCCCCCGACCGTCCCACACCCCTCTCACACACCCACTGCTGAAACCCTAGCTCCACTCCCACGGCACCCCCCTTAAACCCTAAACCCTCGGCTCCCACACACCCACCCCCCTCAGCGGCAGCTGCAGCAGTGGGAGACGGAGGAGGAGGAGCTGCAGGTTACCCATACCGTTCACCCCCATGCCCGCCACCCCCAAACCCTAACGCAGGTAGGAGCGCGGGAAGCAGCAGGGCCGGTTCACGGAGGGAAAGGGAGGAGGCGGGGGGGTCTCCTGGGCGCCACGAAGGAGCAGGGCGCGGGCCCCCCGAGGGCGCCACGGCTGGTGACGGGAGGGGGGCCGCGCACGGGCCCCCGAGGGCGGCTCGACGGGCGACGGAAGGGGCCGCGCGCGGGCCCCCAAGGCGCCGCGACGAGGCGACGGGAGGGGGCGGCGCGCGGGCCCCCAAGGCGCCGCGACGAGGCGACGGGAGGGGCCGACGCGCGGGCCCCCAAGGTGCCGCGACGAGGCGACGGGAGGGGGGGGCGCGCGGGCCCCCAAGGCGCCGCGACGAGGCGACGGGAGGGGCCGGCGTGCGGGCCCCCGAGGCGCCACGACGGGCGACGGGAGGGGGGCCGCGCGCGGGCCCCCACGAGAGCGCCACGACGGGTGACGGGAGGGGGTGGCGCGCTGGCCTCCGGGGCGCCGCGACGAGTGACGGGAGGGGGCAGCGGGCGGGCCCCCTGAAGACGCCGCGACGGGCGACGGGGGGCAGCGCACGGGCCCCCTGAAGGCGCCTCGACGGACGGTTAAACCGCCACGCGCCCCGAGCGCGCGGCGGGCAGAAAAAGCCGCCACGCGCTCCGAGCGCTTGGCGGAAAGAAAATAACACGTCGCGCACCACGGGGCGCGCGACAAACAGAACGACAGCGGAAGCAGATGGTGGGCCCACAGGCCAGGAGCGTAAATGCTCTGAAACCATGTCAAAATAGTAGGCAGAACGAGGAGCCATAGCTAGGGTTTACCTAGCTAGGCAAGAGAGAATTAGGCAAAGGAGGGTTTGACTAGCAACAGTTGGGATACAAATAGGAAACCCTAAGGGGCCGTACTCACTACAGAGTACCCCACTGCAGGCTAGACAAGCATTATAATCTGACAGGAACACCCCCAGGCTCCGCAGCAACCGGTCGCAAAGAAGAACGAGGAGGGAACTGCGGGACCGACGGGAAGCGAGGGGGTGACACGGGGCGAGGCCGCTGACTCGAGGTTGCCGTGTCCTCCATGGGAGTGACCTCCACGCCCATACCCCCTGCACCCCCAGAGCCAACACCACCAGATCCTGCAGCCCCAGTACCCTCACCCTCCGCAACTGCACCTCCCGCACCTCTAGATACGACAGGGACTGGACGCTGCAGGGTGGGACGACTGCGGAATGACATGCAGGAGTAGTTGTCCACCACAATCAGGAAGTAGCACTCCTGACGTGGGCCAAGGAGTAGGGAGGGGCCCCAGACTTCCAAGTGCAGGGTCTGGAAGGGAGCCGTGGTGGGGGGGAACGAGGAGGAGTGAGGGGCAGCGCGCTGCCGACCCTCGACGCAAGGAGTGCACGGCGGCGCAGGTGATCGAGGAAGCGGGGCAAGCGACGCTGGGAGACCTGAGACCAGACGGTGACGTACCATCCTACTGAGACGTGGGAACGACGGGTGACCTAGACGGTGGTGCCAGAGAACCGACGGGTGGGTGAGGGACCGACAGTCGCACGACACAGCAGCTACCTAACCTAACCTGCCCTGACCTGACTCAGTGTGGTGGGACCCAGTTTGTAGTGAGTACAGACCAGAGCCCGGCTCACTGTGGAAAGTGGCCAGAGGCGCCCTAGTGGCACCGACTGTGCAAGAGGCAACAAGCTCGTCCAGTGGGAAGGTAGTGACTACACCGAGGTCGTGGAGGTGACACACCCACCAGGTTCCTGGAGAACGAGGGGGTGTAGTAACCTGTGAGAAACCTAGACAGAGCTGCCGGACACGGGAGAGTGGTGGTGCTTCGAGCAACTACAGGTCCCACAGAGGGGTCCACCAAGGCGACAGTGACTGGAGAGCGCATTGGTGTGAGGTCAGTACAGTCGCAAAAGAAACAGCTGAACGCTCTAGAGTCTTAAGGTGAAGGAAAGTTGTGCAGTCTGTGAGGTCGCACCCGAGCCAGCGACAAAGGCTGGTGCTAGACTAGTGGTAGCTGCAGCTCCTACTCAAAGACCCTCAGAGGCGCCTGGACTAGAAACAACACACGCACCAAGACTGGAAACACAGGTCTCTACTCGTGCAGCCGGGAAAGTTACTAGGCCAGGCAGGTGAGACTAAACTGGTGCAGCAGTGCGCTGGCGAAGACGCGAGGGCCAGTGCGGTGTAATAGCGTGAGGACCAAAACGCTCAAGGTGAAGGTCGTCGAGTCGACGGTAGCAGCTGGAAGCTGAGTGGTCATGACTCCAGCAAGTAGTGCCAGCACCAGGGCCTGTCAGGGCCCGGTACCCGCAGGGGCCGACGTCTCGCCCGCTTCTAGCTGAGCCACTGCTGGGGGCGCCACACTTTGGACCTGCAGGTCCCCACTGCCGAGAGTGCTGCGGCTGGCCCTGCTGCTGTACAACTCTAGTACACGCCATCCGAGGAGCTAGAAATGGGGAGGTGCGCTGGTAGTAGCCTAAGCTGCTGCTGGTGCGCTGGGGGCAGCCTATGCTGCTGCTGGTTCTGCTGGGGGCAGCCTACGCTGCTGCTGGTTCTGCTGGGGGCAGCCTAAGCTGCTGCTCGTCTTGCTGGGGGCAGCCTATGCTGCTGCTGGTTCAAGTGGGGGCAGCCTATGCTGCTGCTGGTGCTCTGGCGGCAGTCTATGATGCTGCTGGTTCAACTGGGGGCAGCCTATGCTGCTTCTGGTGCTCCTGGCGGCAGTCTAGGTTGTTGCTAGTTCAGCTGGGGACAGCCGAAGCTGCTGCTGGTGCTGCTGGCGACAGTCTATGCTGCTGCTGGTGCGCTGGCGGTGGCGTAGGCTGCTGGCGCTCACTGGCGGCGGCCTACGCTGGTGCTGGCGGCGGGCTACGGGCGAACAGCAGTCCGTATGGGGTGGAGGGCGGCGGGAGGTGACTGGGAGTCGACGAGGAAGGGGGTGGGACGCGGGGGCGACGGGAGGCGACTGAAAGGGGGACGGGGAGGCGACTGAAAGGGGGATGGGGAGGCGACGGGAGGCGTCTCAGAGGCAACGGGAAGGGGGGGAGATGGGGAGGCGACGGAAAGGGGGGGGCGGGGAGGCGACGAGAGGCGACGCGGAGGCGACGGGAAGGGGGGGGACAGGGAGGCGACGGGGGGGGGGGGGCGACGGGAAGGGGGGGAAGGTGAAGCGACGAGAGGCGACGCGGAGGCGACGGAAAGGGGGGACGGCGAGGCGACGGGAGGCGACGCGGAGGCGACGGGAAGGGGGGGACGGGGAAGCGACGAGAGGCGACGCGGAGGCGACGGAAAGGGGAGACGGGGAGGCGACGCGGAGGGGACGCGGAGGCGACGGGAAGGGGGGGGACGGGGAGGCGACGGGGGGCCGACAAGGAGGCGACGGGAAGGGGGGAACGGGGAAGCGACGAGAGGCGACGGAAAGGGGGGGACGGGGAGGCGACGGGAGGCGACGCGGAGACGACGGGAAGGCGACGGGGAGGCGATAGGGAGGCGACGGAAAGGGGACCGGGAGGCGACGGGGAGGCGACGTGGAGGCGACAGAAAGGGGACGGGGAGGCAACGGGAAGGGGACTGGGCCGCGACGGGGAGGGGACGGGGGCGCGAGCTACCCGAGCGCTACGGGTACGAGGCGCTTCGGGCTACGGGGCGCTTCGGGCTACGGGGCGCTTCGGGTTACGGGGCGGTGGGCCCAACGGATCGATCTAGCTCTATACCATGTCACAATGGTAACTATCGAATGAATAATTGAGAAACAAGCAGTACAACGATGGATATAGGAAACCCTAACTGAACCTAGGGAAAATTGTAACACACCTAGACTAACACACATAAACTATAACAAATATACTTTGACAGCAGCAGGGCTGTAGCGCCAGCAGCACGTCTGTAGCGGCAACGATAGGGCTGTAGCGGCAGCGGTAGGGCTGTAGCGGCAGCGGTAGGGCTGTAGCGGAAGCGGCAGGGCTTTAGCTGCAGCAGCAAGGGCTGGAGCGGCAGCTGTAGGGCTGTAGCCGCGGCAGCAGGGGCTGTAGCGGCAGTAGCAGGGCTGTAGCGGCAGCAGCAGGGCTGTAGCAGCAGCGGTAGGGCTGTAGTGGCAGCGGCAGGGCTGTAGCGGTAGCAGCAAGGGCTAAAGCGGCAGCGGTAGGGCTGTAGCTGCGACAGTACGGGCTGTAGCGGCAGCAGCAGGGCTGTAGCGGCAGTGGTAGGGCTGTAGCTTCAGCAGCAGGGGCTGTAGCTGCAGCAACAGGAATGTAGCTGCGGCAGCAGTGGCTGTAGCGGCGACAGCAGGGGCTGTTGCAACAGCAGCATGGCGGCAGCAGTGCAGCAGCGTGCTGTAGGACGGCAGGGCACGGTAGGGCAGTGTGCGTGGCGCAGTGATGTGCAGCGGCAGCACGCGGGCCTTACGGGGCAGGGCAGGCTGCAGCGCGGGCGGCAGGGCCGGCGGTCTGGCTGCAGTGTGGGCGGCAGCGCAAGGCAGCGCGGGCAGGGCAGCGAGGCAACGAGCAGGGCAGGGTGCTGCAGGGCGGCAAGGCGGGGCAGCGGGCCACAGCTCACGGCAGGGCACGGCAGCAGCGCTCACGAAACAGCGTGCAGCGACGCGCAGGGCAGAGGCGCGTACTACGCGCAGGGCTGCGGTGGCGCGCGACGGGCAGTGAATAGGGCGCGCTGGGGGCAGGCGTATGGGCTGCGCGATAGGTAGAAAACGGGGCGCGCGACGTGCAGCGAATAGGGCGCGCGCATGGCAGTGTACAGGGCGTGCGCTGAGCAGTAACCGATGCGCGAAAGTCTGAAAAAAATCAACTCCCTCACGCTGACTGAAGCCCCTAGCCACGTAGCGCGCCTTGAAGACAGGCGGTGATCGAGGCGGCCGCTTCACCTTGAAGATTCACATCCCGTCGACTACGTTCGCCCTGGGAGGGGGAACTGCGTCAACGTAGGTGCCTCTGGATCTCCAAGACGCCATCTCTGAGTCCATGGCTGCTTTCCACTTATAGGCCCACTGCCCTGACACTGCCTCACGGTACGTGCGAGGAGTCGGAATGTCAAGGGCGTAGGGGTCTCCCTAAGGGGAAAGCAGCATGGCAGTGTACGGGGCGCGCGCTGAGCAGTAACCGATGCGCGTGCGGGGTAGGGACCTACTTGCTCGATAGGGGCTCGTTTTGGGCAGAAAAAACGAAGTGCGCTAGGGGCGCTCGACGGGCAGCGAAAAGGCACGCACTAGGGGCGCTCTACGGGCAGCGGAATGGGCAGGAAAAAAAAACGGTCCTAACGGACCTAGCTGCTCTGATACCATATTAGAATCTGGAAGGAAATGGTGTGATTAGTCAACAAGGGGGATACAAGCAAAGTGTCGAGAAACATTTTGTACCCCCTAAGGCTAGCCTCTACGTAGCCTAACACATATTCAGATATATATGTTTTGACAGCCAGCCCAGCCTACTAACACGAATCTGGGCTGCCAATGTACAGCCTTGCGACATGTAGTCGGTCCAACGTGCAGTCGACGTCTGAATGTGGCAAGTTCCCCGACAGTCCCCTCTGTGCGTACGCGACATTAAATACTAAAGTTGTTAGTGCAACCAATCACTGAACATTCTGCTGCCAGTGCATTATTGTAACGTGCGAAATTTCCGGTGTTCACGCACCGTCAAGCCGGGTTCCTGGGTATAGGAGGGGGGGGGAGGGGGGGTTGATGGGGGGCGTGGGGGAGGGAGAGGGGTGGTTGACATACCCTGTTCAAGGTAAAACTCGCTAAGGAAAAACTTACACCGAGGCATCAGTGTGACATATTACATTACTGTGATAGATCAGCGAAAAACTAATCCCTGGAAAAAGATTTCGGGGGAAAAAGTGTGACCCTTAAAGATCACCCTGATTATCAGGGTACAAGGGTAATTACACTGATAAAATAAGCCATGCTAAGATCCCATATGGCGATAAAAAATCAGCTGTTACCACCCACCTAACTTGCCCTGACCCTGCGATCGGTTTGCCCGATCGGTTTTTGACTGCGAGCTTGCAATCGACCGAGGGAGGGGACGGGGGAGGGGTTGTCTAATTATAAAATAACATATAAATGTGTTAGGTTAGGCCTGTTGGGCTGTGGTGAGGTACGTTTTATAGGGTATATCTTTTCCCTTGGAGTTGTGTTTGTGCCTTCTCTCTCGCTAGTGTAAATACTTCCTATATTCTAAGATGGTATCACCTAGGTAGTTCCTAGGCCGTAGTTCCGTGTCGCCCTGTGTCGCCCTCAATCGCCCCGTTACGTGCTGCCCACGCTGCCCGCGCTACCCTAGCTGTAGGACCCGCGCACGCTTGCACAGCAGCGCACACGCGCAGCAGAGCCCCGCGCGCGCGTACAGCAGCACGCGCGCGAGCAGCAGCAGCCTCGCGCGCACGTACAGCCCCGCGCGCACAACGCGCGCACAGCAGCGGCCGCCGCGCGCACTGAAACCGCCGCCGCGTGTCGCTGCAAACATTACCCGCGCTCCGCCCCGTCCCTTGCTGCGCTCTGCCCTGCCGCCCGCGCGCGCAGCCCCACGCACGTCCCCCGCACGAGCAGACGTGCGCAGCAACAGCTGCACGCACACGCGCAGCTGCTTACGCAGTAGGAGCCGCGCGCAGGTGACTTAGTCACCTAAGTTCTGTAGATTTTAAGAGGGTTCCTACGGCTTCGTTAGAGGTTGGTGTTGACGCCACACCACGATGAGATTTGCAAAACTGTTACCGTAGCACTCAACCATTCTTTCATTCCCTAACAATTTCTACGCCCCATCATCGTCTCTAAACCCTAAATCCAGAACCCCTTGTCGTTAGTTCGCCGTGTCAGCAGGCCTTCTCACTTTTTGCTAAATTGGATTTTCGTTCGAGATTGGGTTAGACGTTTAGCGCGCCACGCCATTTTCCTCGCGTGGCTCTGCAGCGCGGCGGAGCGATGAAGGCGGCGAAGCGGGGAGCGAAGGCGCCTCGTGCTGGTGGCGGGCGGGGGGATCTCAGCGGCCCGCAGATGCCACCCACCGTCATCTCTGACTCGCGGTTCGCCGCGCTCCACTCCGACCCGCGCTTCGCGGTGAGCTTCGACAGCAGCCGCTCTGGCTGCTTGACGGTGGGCGTGGAAATGCGATGGTTGAAGGTCGCGCTGCTGTCGCCTGCGCGCCCACCTTGGCGGCAGCCCAGTCGCCGTCCTCCAACACGCCACGTGCCTCACCCCCTGCCATGCCCCTCCCACCTCATGCCTCTCTCTCATCCTCTCGCCCTTGCTGCCAATCCCGCCTGCCGTGCTACACACATTCGCAGCAAGTCATTCCGCCTCTCCCCACTTTCCCGTTTCCCCGTCGCCTTTCCCCACCCCGCCCCTTGTCCGACTCCCCTGCGCCCTCTGTCCGCCCCATTCGTCCCACGCGCTCTCCATCTGCCCGTCTCGACGTCTTGCACAGCAGCCAGGCACTTGCCGCTCCTATTCTTTCCCGCATCCCCGACCCTGTCCAGAATAGTGCACCCCAAACCCTAAACTCCTGAACCCCTAACCCCGAATTTGATTTATCAACCCCAAACCCAGGACCCTCGTCACCCCCATGCACCCCTCGTCACTTCCACGCACCCCGCGTCAACCCCCATGCACCCCTCGCCACCCTTGCGTTCCCCCCCCCAGCGCGTGCCGGTGCGCGAGACGCGTGTGGCGGTGGACGCGCGGTTCTCCGGCATGTTCCGCAACGCGCAGTTCGGCGAGGCGGGCGGCGTGGACAAGCGCGGCCGGCGGCGCGAGGCGCAGCGAGGGGCCGACCTGAAGCGGTACTACCGCGTGGATGAGGGGGAAGAGGGGGAGGCGGGGGAGGGGGAAGGGGAGGTGAATGAGGGAAGCGGGGAGAAGGAAAAGCAGGTAGAAGCAAGGGCGCGTAAGGAGGAGGAGGAGGAGGAGGAGGAGGAGGAGGAGGAGGAGGAGGAGGAGGAGGAGGAGGAGGAGGAGGAGGAGGAGGAGGAGGAGGAGGAGGAGGAGGGGGAGGTGCATGAGAGTGATGAAGAAGAGGAGGGGGAGGGCTTAGATGACTCGTCCTCCTCGTCCTCCTCCTCATCAGACTCGGAGAGTGAGAGCGATGAAGAGGCTTCAACCCCACAGGTGCTTGCCTTACTCCCACCCCTCTCTTCTCGCCTTTTCCCTCTGCACCGCTCCATTTTCCCACCACCACATGCTGCTTCGGTCGCTCCCCACTCCCACTCATCTTTGCTCCACCCGCTCCTCTCTCCCCTCATCGCCCCACATCCCGCGCTGCCCCTTGTCGCACCGCCGTCTATCCCGGGCGGCAGCAGCAGGAGGAGGAGCGAGTGGAGACGGTGGAGGAGGCAACGAGGCGCCTGGCGCTCGTCAACATGGACTGGGATAACGTGCGGGTGAGACGAGAGAGGAGACGGGCGTGCGGGTGAGACGAGGGATAACGTGCGGGTGAGACGAGAGAGGAGAGGGGCGACGTGCGGGTGAGATGAGGGGCAGCATGAAGTGGCACAATCAGGGACGTGAGGGGGGGGCCATATGGGGGTGAGCATGGCATGGACATGGGAGGGGAGCAGGCAAGGACATGGGAGGGGAGCAGGCATGGACATGGGAGGGGAGCAGGCAAGGACATGGGAGGGGAGCAGGCAAGGACATGGGAGGGGAGCAGGCAAGGACATGGGAGGGGAGCAGGCAAGGACATGGGAGGGGAGCAGGCAAGGACATGGGAGGGGAGCAGGCAAGGACATGGGAGGGGAGCAGGCATGGACATGGGAGGGGAGCAGGCAAGGACATGGGAGGGGAGCAGGCAAGGACATGGGAGGGGAGCAGGCAAGGACATGGGAGGGGAGCAGGCAAGGACATGGGAGGGGAGCAGGCATGGACATGGGAGAGGAGCAGGCAAGGACATGGGAGGGGAGCAGGCAAGGACATGGGAGGGGAGCAGGCAAGGACATGGGAGGGGAGCAGGCAAGGACATGGGAGGGGAGCAGGCAAGGACATGGGAGGGGAGCAGGCAAGGACATGGGAGGGGAGCAGGCAAGGACATGGGAGGGGAGCAGGCATGGACATGGGAGGGGAGCAGGCAAGGACATGGGAGGGGAGCAGGCAAGGACATGGGAGGGGAGCAGGCAAGGACATGGGAGGGGAGCAGGCAAGGACATGGGAGGGGAGCAGGCAAGGACATGGGAGGGGAGCAGGCAAGGACATGGGAGGGGAGCAGGCAAGGACATGGGAGGGGAGCATGGGGAAGAGCAGAGCCATGCACAGTGGCTGGACTACTTCCGTGCTCCCTCTTGCCGCACGCTCACTGCCATCTCACGTCTCTCCTCTCCTTTTCTTTCCCTTCCCTCTTGCTCATCCCCCCCCCCCTCTTTACGGCAGGCAGTGGACATCCTGGTGGTGCTGCGCTCCTTCGTGCCGCCCGGCGGGCGCATCACAGCCGTCACCGTGTACCCCTCTGACTTCGGCCGCCAGCAGATGCACGCCGAGCTTGAGCGCGGCCCCCAGGGGCTCTTCCAGGCGGGCAGGGGGGCAAAGGGGACGGCAGGCAGGGGGCCTCAGGTGCAGGGGGGTGAGGGCGGTGAAGAGGAGGAGGAAGGGGAGAGCAGTGAGGAGGGCGAGGGCGTGGATGCGGAGAGGCTGAGGGAGTACGAGAAGTCCAAGCTCAGGTGAGGGAGTACGACAAGTCCAAGCTCAGGTGACCGCTCCACCCGCATCCCAGGCCCATCCTGTCTGCCCATATCCCACACGTTTCTATCCCGACTCTGCATGATCGTTTCTTATCAGCTCACCTTGTTCCATATTCCTTGTCGCTCTTGTCAACACCCTCTGCGCGCCCACAGGTTGCCAGTTTGAGTGCCCAACCCTTCTCCTTCCCCTCCGCATGTCGTCCTCCCCTACCCCTCTGTGCGCCGTGCAGGTACTACTACGCGGTGGTGGAGTGTGACAGCGCGGGCACGGCGGCACACGTGTATGGGGAGTGTGACGGCATGGAGTTTGAGAACAGCGCCAACCAGCTCGACCTGCGCTTCATCCCCGACGCCATGACCTTCAACCACCGACAGCCCCGCGACTCCTGCACCCAGGTGCCATGTGTGGTGTGACCCCTCCGTGTGGTGTGACCCCTCCGTGTGGTGTGACCCCTCCATGTGGTGTGACCCCTCCGTGTGGTGTGACCCCTCCGTGTGGTGTGACCCCTCCGTGTGGTGTGACCCCTCCGTGTGGTGTGACCCCTCCGTGTGGTGTGACCCCTCCGTGTGGTGTGACCCCTCCGTGTGGTGTGACCCCTCCGTGTGGTGTGACCCCTCCGTGTGGTGTGACCCCTCCGTGTGGTGTGACCCCTCCATGTGGTGTGACCCCTCCGTGTGGTGTGACCCCTCCGTGTGGTGTGACCCCTCCGTGTGGTGTGACCCCTCCGTGTGGTGTGACCCCTCCGTGTGGTGTGACCCCTACATGCATGGAGTCGTGCTGGTCCAACACCAGAGGCCTCTCACGTCGTGCCGCATCACACAATGCATGCGTCGGTCGGCACAAGCCAACTGTGCGCGCCAATGCGTGCATGGAGGTGAATGACCGGAGACCAGGCTGCTCTTCTTCACCCTGCACTCCCTCTCCCCTCTACCTCACTCGCTTCTTACGCTCACCCCTGCAGGTGCCAGGGGACTACGAGGCACCGGTGTTCACGACGCGGGTGCTGCAGCACAGCACCGTGAAGCTCACGTGGGACGAGGACGAGCCCACCCGCGTGCGAGCGCTGCGCCGCAAGTTCGCCTCCGACCAGGTGAGCGTGCCGACCAGGTGAGTGCCGGCCAGGTGAGCGTGCCGACCAGGTGAGTGCCGGCCAGGTGAGCGTGCCAACCAGGTGAGTGCTATCTACCCTCAAGGGGCGTGCCATGCCAGGAGATGCATCTGCCTTCACCACTCCCCTCTTGCTTCCCCCCCTTTTTTTCCCCTGAACATTCTTTCCTCCGTTCTCCCTTGTTGTTTTGCTCCTCCTGTTTTCAACCCCCCCTCCCCCCCTTTCTCCTGCGGGCTGGGCATGTCCTCACGCGTCCTGTGCGCTGCACTGTGCAGGTGGCGGATCTGGACTTCCACGACTACCTCGCCTCGTCCTCGGGCGAGGACGAGGAGGAGGAGGGGGGAGAGGAGGAAGAGGAGGAAGAGGAGAAAGAGGAGGAGCAGGACGAGGAGGAAGAGAGAAAGGAGAATGGTGGCAGGAAGGAGGAGGGAAAGAAGAAGGGCGGAGGGACAAGAGAGAAGCTGAGGATGCTGTTGAAGGGGCTGGCGGGGGATGGCGGAGGCAAGGGGAAGAAGGGGAAGGGGAGACTGGGAGAGGCAGAGGGGGAGGAGTCGGATGGGGAGGGGTGGGGGTCATCAGGGGTGGAGGGCGACATGGAGGTCACGTTCAGCACGGGGCTGGCGGCGCTGGGCGACAAGCTGGCGCGGCGCCGCAGCGAGCAGCAGCGCGTGGGCAGCGAGACGGTGTTTGAGGCGTACCAGCGGCAGCGCAAGGAGCGCCGCAAGGAGCGCCGCCGCCTGGCCGAGGCGAGCAAGGCGGCAGGAGGGGGCGCAGGGGGGAGTGCGGAGGGGGAGGCAGGAAGCGACGACGATTTGTACGACAGCAGGCGCGTGCAGCAGGAGGACGACCCGTTCTTTGCCCTGCCCGCAGATGAGGACCCCTTTGCTGATCCCTTCTTTGCCTCCACTCATGCCGGTGCTGCTGCGGGCAACGGAGGGGCTGGAGGGGTGAAGGGAGTGAAAGCAGGGAAGAGTGAGTATGAGAGGAAGGCGGAAGAGCGCGAGAGGAAGAGGGCGGAGCGGGAGCGGGAGAGAGCAGAGGAGGAGAGGCGGCGGGCGGAGCTGGAGCTGCTGCTGATGGAGGGGGGCGAGGGCGCGGGGGTGAAGGGGTTCAACCTCAAGGCGGACGCGCGCAAGGCCAGGGAGCAGCGCCGGGTGCAGGGAAGAGGGGCGAGGGGGGCGCATGGCGCAGCGGGGGAGGAGGAGGCTGACGGGGAGGGAGGAAGAGCGCGGTCGGTGGGTGGTGGGGGCAAGGTGGGGAGGGGCGGAAGGGAGGGGAGGAGTGTGGAGCAGGCGGGGCAGGAGGCGGGGCGGGGTGTGGACGTGGACGTGAATGACCCGCGCTTCGCTGCGCTCTTCACCTCTCCGCACTTCGCCATCGACCCCACCCACCCCCGCTTCCTCAAGTGAGTGCTACATCGCACCCCACTGCTGCCATCCCATCCCATTCCCCCCCATTCCATTCCATCCCTGCCACTCCGTCCCATCCTCTGGCCGCCATTGCGTGTCATGGCGCGTGCCCCTCACAGCCTTGGCCCTGCTCCCCCCTCCCCCCAATCACCAGGTCGTCAGCCCCGCAGCGCCTGATAGCGGAGAAGCAGCGCCGCCGCGTGCCAGGTGGCGCAGCGGGCGGGGGAGCAGCGGGTGGTGGCGGGAGTGGCAGCAGTGGCAGGGGTTCCGCCAGCCATGCGGGGGGGGTTCCAGGGGGGCTGGCAGGTGGGCGGGGGGCTGGGGATGGGGAGGAGGGGAAGGGTGCGGGTAGTGGCAGGGCGGAGCTGAGTGTGGTTGTGAAGAGCCTCAAGCGCAAGATGGGGCAGAGCACACACACGGCACGGCCGGGAACAGGGAAGGCAGCGCCAGGGACAGGCAAGGCGGAGGGCCTGAAGAGGCAAAAGAAATGACGCGTTCGGGATGAGGAGAGTTGTTGTGAAGGAGAATTTCTTGGTGTGAAAGGCCATCCAGGGTGGTATGAATGATACACTGAGGCCGCGCTGCTGCCGTCATCTTCAAGTTAGACGCCCCTGGAAACATCAAGGTTCCAGAGGTCAAAACCTGGGGGTGCTTACTCCCAGGGTGTATTCAGTTATCGTTTTATGTACTGTGTCACTCTGGATAGAGGAGCACCTGCGCTTATAAGAGCGTGTTCTTACGGCCCCCTATCAGGCCAACCACTTGTCAGACTCGCCTTTAGCACCCACATCTCTGGGTGTGTAATGCGACCAATTATCTGACCTGTGTGTCTAGCTTTGTTAGGCCCCTTGGCTTAAATCCGCTAAAGATTAGCGGGGTCGACTAAGTCCAGGACCAAACGCGGCGGAAGATTTTGGCAAAAAAACTATTGACGAAATAGGCGAAGAAGTTACCGAGTAGTTGAAGCGTTGAATGAGAATTGGTTGATCATGACAAGTGCAAGCAAGGTTGATATAGCATGCAAGATCGAATGTCGGAAAGTACTTCGTGGGACTAGGAATTGAAGGCAAGAAAAGTAGAGTGCCACGTGGCACTAGGAAATCTGTGAAGATAGGATAAGGATTGGGTTGGGAGGGAATGACTGTTCAGGATGAACAGCAAACTACCCTGTAATAGGCTTGCTCTAAGCGTTCATACCAGTCGCGTGGGTTATGTGGCACGCAGCAACAGTAACATATACATACTGTCATCGCCCGGATATACATATACCGTAATCCCCCGTATATAAGACCCCCCCCAGTTGTAGACCCCCGGGTCTATAATACGGACCCGGGTACTCTATTCGAGTACATCTGAGTTATACCCCCCTAAATGGCTCCTAACATTATAAGACCCCCCCACATACTAGAGAAGTGCGATTTTTTCAAACAATTGCAATTGAAAATGGTAACGAATTTCGAATTTCAAATGAGTCAACACCCATTTTCAATGTGTTGGCTTCACTTGTTGCGCGTCCAGTCAGGATGAGCTGGCACGCGGACAAAGTGACGTGCCAAATCTCTGTGCACAGTCAGGGAAACGTCATCGCGCGATTCTGATTCAGGACGCTGTAAAAGTTCGATTCGATTGAACTTACGAGACTGAAATGTACAACATCGTGCATTCTTATAAATGCCAATGTTAAAAGACCCGGGTCTTCTAAAAAATATACCATTTAATTATACCCCCCAGCCTTTTTAGGGGTGATTATCATAATACCCTAGGGTCTTATATACGGGGGATTACGGTATGTCTTATCTCATACACTAAATGCTTGGGTTATCTTGTATTTGGGAAGGTTTTGGGTGTCTTATAAGTCTTATAAATGGAGACTTTTTTAAACTACTTAAAAACATTTTCACACATCTGGAAAACAGTTTCTCATTATGAGAGTGGATGTTACGAAGGTGCCACTTCGGCAACCATTGTTCGGGACGCCACGTCATGGAGAATACTTGCAGAGGCAAATTTGGTAGTACGCGAGTCAGCACGTGGCAGAATTCGCGTGTCGCAAGGTGAAAAATGTACGCGGTATTTCAATTTTCACTATAATATATTGCAGTTTCGATTATAAGACATATATGTCTTATCTCGTACACACACATAGGTATCGTATAAAAAGGCTAGCCTATTTATAAGAGACACCTGTATAATAGACAACCCCTGTTTACTATTCAACACTGTCTTATATCCGGGCGATGACGGTATGATTAACCGTTCTGCCCTAAAATCGTCGCATGTGAGCTTGGCTCGAAACAAAATGCCAGGACAGGAACTGAGAAGATTTGAACAAGAATGAATGAACTATGAATGAAGTGAGTACATATAGGAAACCCTAATTGGGTTGTACCCCCTATGGGATACCCCACTATAGCCTACACAACAGCATAAGCAATATATATGTTCTGACACACCCCCATAGGCAAAGTGGGGGAGAACAAGGGGTCACAAGACCAGTCACGCAAAGCACAGCAAGCTCAGGGTGGATCACAAAGTCACCACACAGTCCGAGCACAACGACAAGGCCACAAGGCCAGTTCACATGCAGGAGTGCACATATATATATAGAGCTAGACAAGCAAGAGCAGGTATATATATGTGACAGTACAAGCAAGGTCAAGAGGAGAGCAAGTGAGGCAAGACAGGTACAAGACCCAGCTGAGTGCAGAAGCGCTGATGGTCACAAGGCGCAAGTGCCTTGGTGAACACATCAGCAGTGTTGGCCTCAGAGGCCACGTACGCAAGTCGCAACTGACCACGCTGCTGCAGCTCACGAGCAAGAAAGTAACGGAGAGCAATGTGCTTCGTTCTGTGCTCCAAGCGCTGCTCTCGACACAAGGCCAGCATGGCCTTGTTATCTACGTACAGCACTGGAGGAGAACGAGGCGGCTCTCCAAGGTCAGTCAGCAGGTAGGTGAGCCAGCGAAGCTCCTGTGCAGCCATGGCCCCGGCGTAGATCTCAGCCTCACAACTGGAGCCGAGAACAGAGGACGAGCGAGTAGCCCGCCACGAGACAGAGCCGGAACCAAGACTGAAGGTGTAACCCTGCGACGACCGCTGCGTAGCCTGGTCGTCAGCCCAAGAAGCGTCCGCGTGCCCAGTGAGGACCACTGGACTCCGCCCTCCAAGCACTAGCCCCGTGCCCGACGTACTGCACAAGTAGCGCAACACCCTCTTCGCTGCAGCCATGTGCTCTGGTCGGTGTCTCCCAGGAGCAACATAGCGTGCAAGAATGCTAAGAGGGTATGCAAGGTCAGGTCGTGTGCAGGTCATCAGGTACATGAGGCAGCCAACAAGCTCTGGGTACGGGCCACTCGACTCTACAGACTCATCCGAAGGCAGAGCTGAGAGCGAGTGGCGAGTAGACAGAGGAGTGGCCTGAGGCGAGGAGTACGTGAAGCCGAAGCGCTGAAGGACCTGCTGCACCATGTGTGACTGAGTCAAGGTAATGGTGCGGCGTGCTCTGTCCCGAGTGATCTGCAAGCCAAGGTAGCTGCGCAGTTCACCCAGGTCTGTGCACGTGTGTCTCTTCTGCAGCTCGGACTTCACGTGGGCGAGTCCAGCAGTGTCAGCTGTGGCAAAGACCAAGTCGTCGACGTACACGAGGATGTAGAACGGCGGCAAAGAAGTGTCGGTGCGCAGAAACAACGACGGGTCAGCCGTAGAGGGAGCAAACCCAAGAGCCGCAAGCGTAGTCCTCAGTGTGTCGTGCCACTCACGCGGTGCCTAGCGGAGACCGTAGACTGGCCGTCGGAGGCTCCACTGGGTGCCAGTAGGGAAAGTCCCAGTGAAGCCAGGTGGACGGCGCAGCCAGATCTCCTCGTGCAGGCTACCCTGCAAGAAAGCAGTGCTGAAGTCAAGAGAGTGGAGCTCGTAGTCGCGCTGAGCGGCTATGTGCAGCAGCACCCGAAGAGTGGTCATCTTCGGGGTGGGAGAGAAGGTCTGAAAGTAGTCAACTCCCTGCCGCTGACTGAAGCCACGAGCGACGTACCGCGCCTTGAAGACAGGTGGAGAGCCCGGCGGCCGCTTCACCCTGAAGATCCACATGCCACTGACGATGTTCGCCCCAGGAGGGGGAACCGCGTCAACGTAGGTGCCTGTGGACTTCCAGGACGCCATCTCTGCATCCATAGCTGCCTGCCACTGAGAGGAGTAGGGACCCTCTACGGCCTCCGCGTAAGAGCGCGGAGTCGGGATGTCTAGTGCATCCGGGTCTCCCTCAGGGGCAAGTAGTACGGACGCGAGATGAGGTGAAGCAGCAGCCAGACACTGGAACTCCTCCTGCCTGTCCTCAAGGACGTCCGTGCCAAGAGCACACTCACCCCCGACGGACGGAGGACAGACAGACGCAGACTCAGCAACAAGACCGGCAGCGTAGTCTAGACGACAGCTAGCAGCAAAGTCGACGAGCTCAGCAACAAGAGCAGACGCAGCAGTGGACTCAAAAGAGGGGTCAGTGACGACAGTAGCAAGGAGACGTGTGACAGTAGGACTAGCAGCACGAAGAGAGTCGGACTCTGGGTCGGTAAGTGCAGGAAGGGAGGACTTAGGAGGAGAAGGCAAAGGGGCACGCAGAGGAGCAGTGGACGGACGCAAAGACATCCGGTGCGTGCCAGGGACAGGAGGAGGACGCTGACGCGAACCGCGACCACTAGCGCGAGCAGCACGAACAGGCGACGCAGGACGAGACGCAGGCTCACGACGCTCAGCAAGACCTCCAGTGGGACCAGTGTAAGGAGAGGGAGCAGGAAGTGGGGAGGCGGGCTCTAACTGGGACTGTGACTGAACAGGCTGTGGACACGCTGCAGGAGGAGAAAGACCAAGAACCTGCTGTAGGAGTGGAACGAAGTACGGCCGAGGCCGCGCGGCGACTCCAGACACAGCAGGGACAGCACCCTCAGCAGCAGCACCAGCGCCAACAGCACCTCCAGCTCCAGTACCTCCAGCAGCACCAGTAGTACCCGCAGCAGGACCACCGCCAGGAAGGACAGCAGCAGTCTCAGCACCAACACCCGCGGCAGCTCCAGCTCCAGGCGGACCCGAGGGCCCAGCAGCTCCGGGACCAGCGGCACAAGTACCCTCAGCAGCCGAAGGAGCTCCAGCTCCAGCAGTACGTCTCCAGCGGCGAGCAAACCACTCGCGCAGCTCCTGTGGAGAGAGGGGCTCCCGCCGAGGCGAAGCACCCGGAGAACCGCCAGGTCCCGCACCGCCAGACGCCACAAGGGGAGGTCCAGTGGCCGCAGGCTCCGCAGCTCCAGGCTCAGTAGCTCCAGACGCAGCACCCCCTGGCTCAGCACCCCCAGTCACAGCACCCCCAGGCTCAGCACCCCCAGACTCCGCACCCCCAGGCTCAGCACCCCCAGTCGCAGTACCCCCAGGCTCAGCACCCCCAGACTCAGCACCCCCAGGCTCAGCACCCCTAGGCTCAGCACCCACGCGCGTAGCACCCCCA